ATCTTTCCTTCTAGGCATATGATATTAATGGCTGCATAGTTATCTCCCAGGGGTATCTATGACTTATCATAAAGTCCTTGCTGATTGCATACACTTTACAAATATGGTTGAACGGGCCACCACTAACATATCACCGAGGTGTATGGTTTTTGACTCTTCCAATGCCACTTCTTTTTTGTCTCCTTTTTTAAATTTTGTCTAGGCCAGCGTGTAGCTGCCTTCTGCATTAGCGCCTTTAGACTCCGTTCGAAGAAATAGGCACAACTGCGTGACAGGTTGCCGGCCTATCAGGCTAATTCAAAGACTGATCCAAAACGCCTTGGGAGTTGAGCTATACTAAACCTTAAGTTCAAGCCAGTTCTGTCAATTGTGCAGTCTCGCCATCTATGTTCGTTGTTTGGGTATTGGCCGCTTCGTTTGTGACGCCTGAACTCAACCCAGACACAAGGATGCCAAAGGAAAACACACATCGACATATCATCAACACCATTACAATCGGTGGGTTCAAGAATTGCCGAAATACAATTGGTTAACCTTGGAATTATATCAGAACAAGAAACACCTGCAATCCACCGTCATTGAAGGACACTACACTTTGACAACTAAATGGCACTTGGATTCTCTCGAAGGGGAAGGCGTCAGATCCTTATCTCATCCTGAAGAAAAGGCTTGTTCTTTACTGCATTCAAACATGGCATTATCCTGATCAACTTCATGCAATCCAAATATAGAACATGGGGTTGAAGCAAACACCCCCAAATAACCAAATAAGGGCCCTGGATGGCGATCTCCTGCAGGTCAAGGTTCTCTAAACTTCTGAGCAGGGTACACATACATACCGGATTCCCAGGAAAATCTGTCCTTCTCGAATACCTCAAATTCTTCTGTGCATTGTCCGGGGGGAAGGGGGTGACATTCCGCCCAGCCTCTACGTTCCAACCCACATTCCGGACTGTCTATCACCAACAGGGCATTAACAAATCTACAACATCACCCCCACCCGGATTTCGTCGATTGGCTAATCATAATGAAGCAAATGAAAGAAGTGTGTAGCCAGATTGCGCGGCCGCTCATACTGTCACCCAAGTCGAGTCTCCTTTGGGCTGTTGATGATGGGATAACAGGTATCATGACGCTTACACTACAACCTTGGAAGCACCAACCTTGGAACTTGAGAGGTGATCATTCTTCTGTCCCAGCTGTTTGGCTAGTCCTGGTTCCTTGGACAATTCTGAACGGCTCGGAGAGCGTTCCGACCCATTTCCTTTCCTAACGGGTGTGCTCTTACTCCGTACAAGTTATGTCGATCTCTAATTCAAGTTATCGGGTCAACATGCCTAAGGCTTCCCCAGACCCTCTTCACCAGCTCATTTGATGACTGTTCCACTGCTTCTGGCTTAGTTAAGGAGGGTTGCATTCCCGTGGGTGGCTATCCGGAACAAACCCTCTTTGGGATTTGACAAAGATCAACAGCTCGGCCAGCCATTCATATTTCCGCAACTACGATTGGCTGAAGAGCCTTGAATCATTCTTCTGGGAGGTTGGTGGGGCCGGCCAGAAGCCAACCGGGCCCTCTATAGCACATTCCTTGTCCATCTTTAGAGCACTTGGAATGTGTCTAGAAATTCCGAGGCTGGTGTCCTGGCAGCCATTCAAATAGGGCTTGCATCTGTTTGTTTGCTTTGCTTTCTTTGCATCATCTGCAGTGTTTTCTTTGATTGACAAACGATCAAACATCCAAACATCCAAACACTTTCTCTTTATTTGCATCCTTTGCACTTCTCGGATATCCGGGTCGATCCCCCGATTCCCAAACCTTCCAAAGCCCTAAAGACCATCTAATTGGTCCAATCACATCTAGTCTTTGAGACATCTAATCGCTGACTACACTTTTCGCCCCGTTCTTCTACTTGGTCGCCGCAAACGGAAAACAAGATGTTCGCCCAACCATACGACCATTCGTTCAACGACTTGTTCAACCAATACGTCAACATGGAAACTAGTGCCGTCGATGGAAAAGATTCGTTGTCCGATTTTGATCAGCTTTTTCCACTCGCACTTGACTCGCTGTCGAGTGACTGTGGCGATCTTCCACCCACTGTCTCCACTCCCAAACGCCATCAATCACCGCAACCCTGGAGTAATGAGTGGTCCCTGCAGGATGACGGGGCCGCTGCCGATCATTTTGCTTTCCATGACACCGTCCACCCATCTGCAATCTCAGATGTCAATCTAAACGACTTTGAAGTTCCCTCTCGCTCTACAGCAACTCATGGTCTGTCTACCTCGCCGTCCACTCCTCCAGCTACGCCTAGACGGAAGCCTGCCCAGAGTGCTCTCATCACTCCCAAATCTATCCGCCACCGTAGCCCGAATGAGCGTCGCTCTCATCTGCGCAAGCAAAGTTTCTCTCCCAGCTTAATGCGCTCTTCCAACCTTTCTAAAGCAAGAATGGCATATCCAGAGGCTTGGGCCCAGCGACTTCAGAACTTCAGTCTTCACGGTTCCGAAGATCGTCTGCCGCTGTCGCCTCCTCCATCGGATGTCCTCATTCAGAATGAGAACATGCCTACCGAACAAATCATGAACCAACCTAGAGACTCAGCAGAGATGCCTCCTCAGTACGACGCAAGACTATACCAACAGTCTCCTTCAGTTTCAATGCCATCGCCGAATATCGCAATGTCAGCACGGCAGCAACAGCACTACATTGCTCAGCCAAGCTCTTCCGCCTTGACCAACTCCAGCCCTTCTTCCGCAGATGACATGTTCTCTTCGTCTCACTCATCCGACCCCCATTCTCTCTCGTCTTGGCAATCAGACCCTCTTCATGCCTCATCTCTCTCTTTCACTCCAGACCTCCAAGGCCAAGATTCTCAATGGTGGTCCCCCATGCCCTCTCGGGTCGCCCAACAACAGGCCTCTTACCTCACATCTCCCACACCTGTCCGCAACATGCAAAGCGTTGCAAGCCAAAATGACATGATGCAGGGAGGACTAATGATCCAATTCAATCCCTCCTATGACATGTCGGCGGATCACTCATTCTCATCATCTAATATGCTCCCCGCCACCCCTCAAAAATTCGACACCTCCTTCACCACCTCCCAAGTCCACAAGGTCTCCCGTTCACCGTCTCTCTCCCCTAAGGCCGGCACATCACCAAGAGACACCCGCAATGGATCCATTCCCAAGCCCGCCCATCGCCGCACTCACAGCCGCAAGCTCTCCGGCCAGAGCATGAATGCTCCCAAGCCCGCCAAGGCATCTGGCTCCTCGTCCCGAGGCTCAAACAAATCTGTCAGCGTATCATTCGTCAACTTTACCGCTCATGACAGCAAGAAGATCCTGACCGGAGTTGCTCCCTCAGGTAGTTCCAAGACCAAGGCTCGCCGTGAGCAAGAAGCCCGCGATAGACGTCGCAAGCTCAGCGAAGCTGCATTGAGGGCTGTGCGCAGCGCTGGCGGCGACGTCGAAGCTCTCGAAGCTGTTCTCTGTTAAGCTTGTTTTTGATTTGATTTCTTTTTCTTTTTTTTTGTCTCTGTTTTTTTTTTTTTTTTTT